GCCAAGATTTCCGCTTATGTGAAGGATCACTCGCAAGAAAGATATATTTTGGTTTGGAGAAGATGGATAGATTATATTGAGCGTAAATATGGGACTAAAAAATATCATTTGGTTTTTGAGTAAATTTTAGAGTATTATGGTTGTATAAAGGTTAGAATATTTTATTTAGTATTATTTTTAATTATTAAAGTGTTGTTATCATTATTGTTTTTAATAATTGTATTGTTTAAAAGAGAGTTAAAGGAGGTTATAGATATGTTATTTTAATAGTTGATTAATGTTAATTAGAGTATGATTATGTTATTGTTAACCCTGTGATTGGCACTGGGAAGTGAGGGGGGAGAGAGGGGGGGTGGAAGGGTGGGAAGGAGAAGGGGGGGATTTATATTGTAAAATTTTATAAAAAATTTAATTAAAAAAAAAGAGGTTGAATTTGAAGTGATTTGTGAAGGGATGACTATTATATAATGAATGTAAAGTGTAAATTAATATTCTTTGAATCTAAATGAACATGTATAGAAATGCACTGTAAGTTGTGATATATTTAACAGGCCTTATGTACAAGTATATATCAGAAGTGTTCATAGCTCTCAAAATTGGCTCAAACTTAATCTTTGCTTAGCAACAGAAAAATATATATTTTATTAGGTAATCAGAGTGATTTTATGGTATAGTAGCTTTCTGTCTGATGGGATTTTCAGTAACCTGTGTTCATTAAGTAATGGATAAAATGTTTTCTTATTCATAACATGATTACTGCTGAGAAATACAGATCCATTAAAATGCTTTACAGGTTATTACATAAAACAGAAAGCATTATGATAAATACTAGTCCTTAATTGAATAATCCATTGTTCTTAATTTGTTAACATTTAAATTTAACAAATCACTCTTCTTAACTTTTTAACATTTGGATTTAATAATTCACTTCCTTAATTTATTAATATTTACTCCATTATAATTCAGAACTTGCAGCTTGGAAGCAGCCTTATGGACAATGGAAAAAAGTAATATAATTAATAGCAAAGCATAAATATTGAGGACTTTTTATGATCGTTGTTAGCCTACAGATATTGAAACCAGGTAGAGAAAAAAATGGTGCAGGAGGAAATTGGCATTATATAATTAAAAGTATAGGCTTTTAAAGTATATAGCCAGTGTGATTTAGCATGGCCTTCCATAGTGTATATTATTATCTGCTTGGAAGAAGTACCATATTACTGGGTAAGTTAAGATCTAAGGGAATCATAGGATATACTATCCATTACTTCTGAGCTGTTATAATTTACACATAAATAGCAATTTTGTTAGAACAAGATAGGAGAGAAATGTTTACTATCTTCCAACCTCTTCCAACCTACCGGTATTTTATCTTCATAGTTATATATTCCCAGATTATTTTCCTCGCCTCCATTGGAACATGATTGTTGAATCCATCTCTTATGATTTACTCATTTGTTCACTTAGCAATCCCACATTCTGGGTTTCAGACCATGTTGTAGCCCAGGATGTAGCAGTGAGACCTATACATTTATGAATGAACGGCTTGCCTTCACAAGTTGTGGGTGCTCCATCACTGGAAGCTTTTAAGAAGAGACTGGATAACCACTTGTCTGGAATGGTATAGCGTCTCCTGCTTGAGCAGGAGGTTGGACTAGAAGACTAGAAGACCTTCAAGGTCCCTTCCAACTCTCTTACTCTGTTATTCTGATTGAGATGTGACAGGTAGTATCTTTATGGTATCCCCAACAATTCAGAGCAGTTAAGGAGGCAGAAATTGAATGGCTCAGTTTCTGGATTTCTGCAGTCATGTTATCCAATTTATTAGGTATCACTTCTATACCTGCAATATTTGGAACTACATTTCCTATATTAATTCCTTCTTACCATGCTCCTATTGTAAACCTTTTCCCTATAGGTAGACAATTTTCTAATATACCAATAGTTTTTTCCCTCCATAATGTCCACTCTGTACAAATTCTTTACACAATGGAATAAGTTAAATATATGAATCTAATTTTTTTTCTTTTCAAGAAAAAAAAATAGATTTCCCAAAATATCTTTTCTCTTTGTTATCAGATTATTTAATCAAAATCGTCATCCTAAAATTCTTTTGCTTTCTTCGGTTCTAATAATTTAATATTGTTAAATTATCTAATAATTTTATTAGGTTATTCAAACTTTAACTTACTTTTGATACAGTGGTTTAAAAATAAACTAGCCATATAAGAAAGCCATATTAACTTATATTCCACCTTCTTCAAATCAAAAGTAACACACATAGGGATGTCCCATAATTTTATATTCACTTAAATGTTTGGCCCAATTTTCAGTTGATTATGTTTCTTTTTCTTCCCTTCCCTTTCCTGGAAATTTTAAATCTCTTTTCTGTATTTTCTTCTCTATGCCTGACTTTACCGTTCTTTTATATATTTTATTTTTTTAAGTGGTAATGTTCTCAGATCAACACATTAAATACCAATGAAAAAGAAAAGTTAAAAGAAAGAAATTATTTGGCTCAATACTGTGAATAATAACAACATCTTACCTGTTACTAAAATTTGCTGAGGGATTGAAATGTGGTGTTTTTTTTTAAAGAAATGGGTTAGATAAGATATTAAAAGGTCTTAATTTAGCTTTATAATAATAATAATGATAAAGTTGGAAGGGACCTTGGAGGTCATCTAGTCCAACCCCCTGCTCAGGCAGGAAACCCTATACCATTTCGGACAAATGGCTGTCCAGTTTCTTCTTAAAAACTTCCAGTGTTGGAGCATTCACTGCTTCTGGAGGCAGGTTGTTTCACTGGTTAATTGTTCTAACTGTCAGGAAGTTTCACCTTAGTTCTAGGTTGCTTCTCTCTTTGGTTAGTTTCCACCCGTTGCTTCTTGTCCTGCCTTCAAGCGCTTTGGAAAATAGCTTGACTCCCTCTTCTTTGTTCAGCCCCTGAGATATTGGAACACTGCTATCATGTCCCCCCTCGTCCTTCTCTTCATTAAACTAGACATACCCAATTCCAGCAACCGTTCCTTATATGTTTTAGCCTCCAGTCCCCTAATCATCTTTGTTGCTCTTCTCTATACTCTTTCTAGAATCTCAACATCTTTTTTACATCGTGGTGACCAAAACTGGATGCAGTATTCCAAGTGTGGCCTTACCAAGGCATTGTAAAGTGTATTAACACTTCACATGATCTTGATTCTATTCTTCTTTTAATGCAGCCCAGCACTGTGTTGGCTTTTTTGGCAGCTGCAGCACACTGCTGGCTCATATTTAAATGATTGTCCACTAGGACTCCGAGATCTCTCTCACAGTTACTACTATTGAGCAAAGTACCCCCTGTACTATACCTTGCCTAAATGTAGAACCTTACTTTTTTCACCACTGAATTTCATTTTGTTAGATAGCGCCCAGTGTTCAAGTCTGTCCAGATCCTCCTTCTCCCAGACTTTTTAAGTCAGGCATGTGGCCCTCAACAACTAGTAATGCAGCCCCACAAGATCATAATGAATGAATGATTTAATATATATTATATTATATATTGTATATTTATTATATTATATATTTTATATCTTGCCCAAGACAATTCCTCTTCATTTAATGTGGCTCAGGCAAGCTAAGTGGTTGGACAAGCTTGACTTAAGTGTATAGTTACACTACGCTAAAGAAAATGCTGAGGAATAGGTAACATCTTGCTGGGTAAAGAAGGATCTGCAAGTAAACACCCAAGCTTGGTGAGCACCAACAACTCTACAGTTCAACCCTGAGCTATAGAAAGTCTCTTTTATTGGAAGATGATAAGGAAAGATGATAGCTCTTTGTGTCAAAACTTTCATATTACAGACAGAGACCAACAGAAAAGAGAGAAGCTTATCAAAGCTGTTGACAAATTCAAGAAAGAAATAGCATTGATCCATTCTACACCACCATGCCATTCTAGAAGTGTTCCCACTAAGAATCACAAAGTAAGATAATATACTGTACTATGTTTTGGAGGCAATTGATAGGAAGTGAATATCTCTCCCAAGGGTCTGTATTCCAGTGTCTGATGAGGGCATGAAAACCGTTTCATTCGTAGACCGAATGAAACATCAATTTGGGGAAAGCTTAATGCTATAATTGTCTACTCTAATAATGGAATATGGACCCATATCCTCAACTTGTTTTCCTAAGGTGCTGAGCGCCTTTATTAGATGCTAGTTCAGCAGCAGTAAGAGCAATCTACTTTCAAACTCTGTGTTGTTTTAATTTATTTCATTTGATTTGATTTTGCTCAGGTTACATTACATTATTATTGCATTAATTAATCAGATTGTGGATTGTGATCAATGTTAAATTTCATTTGTCTTCTCCAACTCTATTTTATCATCTCTTTAGCAAAATGGCCCATGTGACTTGAAATGGTCCTGTGCGTTAAAACTGGTATAAATATCACTAGGATGATGAATCAGTAAAAGTGTTTTTTCCTACTCACATTTTCATCATTTTACCCACCTTCCTCATTAGGTTTGATTTGATTCCCCACCTAGATTTTTGCAAGACCTGTCCATGGAAAACTGAAGCTTCTTTTATAATGTCAGTTCCAGCCTAAAGATAAATTTCTGCTGATTCTAAATCATGTCCTTTTATCATTCTTTTGTAAAGTACTATTTACCTGTCACCAATTCTTGGTCCATAATTGAATGAAGTAGGAAGGAGGGCTACAAGGAGCACTTTACAATGCCTGTGCTTACACAGATTTTTATATGCTTGAGTTTTTCCTCCCACAAGTAGAATGTATCTTTGCTTTTTTTTTTT